AGACATTGTCGCGTCAAACGTGAAGCGTCCTAGACGTTACAGGACATATTGCCGTAAATAAGGCTATAAAATACTCTAAAGTAGTGTTTGTTTATGATTACCCTTAAACTCGGAATAACATGATCGTATTGAAACTATGTACTGTTTTAAGAACAGTGGTTATTATTTACTGATTTAAGTTATTAGTATGGATACATGCTAGCATCGAATAATATGATAAAAGCACCTTTACTCATCACATGAGTCAAAGTGCCTGCGTCATGCCGGCGCTGCGCTTCGTGTGCACATCCTGCAACATCGCTGATGCAGGTTCATTATCCTGCTTCAAGTGTAAAGGTAATCTTATACCACCCACGACCTTTGACTGTGCAAAACTCGGACTGCTTCCTGAGCTGCAAGAGCTCATAAAACAGGTAAAAGCATGTCAAATGCATAAAACCAAAATGGTCAAGTTTTAATCTTATCGATATGGTTTAACATTTGATGTAGGACCTAAATTTTAACGTGCATACATTGGACAAAAATCAGGCCACGCTGTTACATTATGCAGCAATAAGTGGTAAAATGGGTGTTTTAGAGTAAGTTGAAATGGCGAAATGGTTTAAACGTTTAAACCAGTCATCTTAACAATTTTTTGTGTGTTTTAGGTATTTACTTGGAAACGTCGATACTAAAGTCCTAGTCGATGTTTTGGGTGGAGATATGCAGACAACGCCGTTATTTTGGGCAGCTCTTCATAACCAGATTTATGCAGTAGAAGTGCTGCTACGACACGGAGCTGACCCAAATTTTAGAGATGGAGGAGGTTTTTCGCCGTTTTTAGTGGCAATTCAACGCTGTTTTCCCATTACGGCGGCTTATCTGGTAGCAAAGGGCTCTGATATCAACCAACGCGTGCAAAGTGCGTCTGAAGAGGGTCATTTTGTGATCTTTTCTCGTTGATGAGCTCATGCTTTTTTCTGTGGTGTTTTTGTTATTGTAGATGCAGGCCAGAAGACAGCTTTGATGCTACTTTGTCAACCGCAACAGTTTCATTTGGATACATTTCGAATGGTCCTAAGTCTTCAAGCTACGGTGGATGCACAGGATTCTGATGGCAATACTGGTCGGTTGTTTTCATCATGACGTTTGGTTCTTTTTTTTCTACTAAAGCAAATGTGTTGTATTTGTTCTGTGTCTCCTCAGCACTTCATCATGCAACCATCAACAATATTGCTATGGCTGTGCGGATGCTGCTCGATGTAAAAGCTGATACAACTATTGTAAATAAGGAGGGTCTTACGGCCTTTGACATTGCATGTGTGAAACTTGGTCCCGAAACATCGTCACGTCACCTTTTGAAAGAGGATAAACAGCTGCAGCATCTTTCACGATGGACGTCTATTTCGGTGCGTTAGCTTGCTATTAACAAATATTGAGAAAGAAGTTGATGGACGGTTGGTTTATAACAGAAACAAACTCTGGAGGACAATATGTATAAGCTCGCATTTATTGTCCCATGGGTGGTATTGCCTCTTGCATGCTACGTGGTGGCAGTTGTAGAAGGATGGTACTTTGTCATGCTTTTGCTTTTTATTCTGTTGATTGGAGCGATGCTAGTGCTTAAATTGCTACAGCGTGGCTCCTACGGTGACAAGCGTAAAGCAGCACCATTGATGTTTGGGGTCAATGTTGCATCAATCGGCTATCTTGTTGCCAGTTTTCCTCAATTTAGTGGCTACTGCAGCACGGCATTTTGCACGTTTGCAACATTCTCTTTTGCTATCATTGGGGTCACGCTGTACAAAACGTCCACTTCCGACCCGGGCGAAGTGTTCACATCGTATGATGAGAAGCTGCATGTAAGTCGTGTGTGCTTTGTATATCTCATCTTGAAAGCATCAGCTAACATCAATGTTACATGTGCTCCATTTCATTCTCTACTCGTACTTGTAGAACATCCGCTGTCTCGTTGAATCAAAGCTACCCAGTGCAACGAAGTTGTGTCTCACATGTTTGCATAAGAGGCCACTTCGTGGCAAGCATTGCGCCGAGCTAAACTCGTGCATTGCCAAGTTTGATCACTACTGTCCTTTTGTGGTGAACGCTGTTGGTGCACAAAACCATGCAGCTTTCCTAGGATTCCTCTTTTCAGCCGTGCTCTCAATCGGGCTGGAACTTATAGCCTGCATACGCTTTGCAGGCGCACAACCCGAGCTGGTGGCTGACTTCACAGTTCAGTGGCAATGGTGGAAGTGGGACTGGTCGTTGTGGCGTTTGCTTGTTGGTACAAGCAACACTGCCGTCATTACGCCGCCTGGTCTAACCGACTGGCTTTGGAGCGTCGCACATTTTCACCCAGTACTTTTCTGTGTCATGCTCCTGGACGTTGTGCAGATTGCATGGATCGCATACATGCTCGTTTTCCACCTCTACTTGATGTGCGCAGCTCTCACGACAAACGAGGTCGTGAAGAACGAAAATCTCAATCATGCGTATTCCCGCGGCATTTTAAGGAATGTGGTTGACTTCCTGGGCCTACCGGGTCACCGACCAGTGGATTGGCGTCGCGTGTATAATTTGGAGGAGTTCCATTGCCAAGTTGCGTCGTGCACTACTTCGCGCAAGAACATATAAAGTTGTAGATCCAGCAAGAGTAAAAATGCACTTGCCTGCTGAATTAATGTCTTGCTAGCAAAATATTGACCTTCGTACATGGCATGGTCTGTTGACTACTGAATGCGCTCAAGACAGCGCAGACGTGCACTGCGCGAACGTGAGTTGATCGCGACCTCTTCAGCAGTAGCCTTGGTAGCTTTTCGTCGTGCAAGGCGAAAGCGCTTTCTACAGAGTGGATTGACATCGTTTCGTGATTCATTCTCGGCTTTTTCATCGCTGTCTTCTTCTTTCCACTCTTCATCCTCATCCTCATCTACGTTGGTCCTGCCTTGCTTGTCCTAGTACAAACCAAACAAGGCATCAGTAAGAAGAGCATACCTGTGACGATGTGTATCATCCTGCGTACGAGTTCACGGAAGAAATGCTTGATCGACCGATCCTCTAACGAATGAAATGCAATTGTCACTACCATACCACAACATGTTGTTAGTCCTCCACTCAATTATTATCCGCAACGCAACACAGCATCGTACAGAGTCGTCCATTTAGAGCTAAGTGGTTGACAAGTTGTTTGACGCCACTTTCGACGTGAGTGAGCTCGTCGTTCACGTAAATTCGCAGTGCTTGAAAACAACGTGTAGCTGGATGTATACTTCCAAACTTGCTCGTAAGTTTGCCCTTCCTCTTGCTCTTCTTGCCCTTACCCACTGACTTCCACATATTAGCAATGCGTTCAATACAATCCCGTAGATCCTTTGTTGTCTCGAACATATTGCCTCGTTCCTCTCGTTCTCGCACAATCGCCTTTGCAAACTCCTTTGCCAGTTTTTCCTCTCCAAAATCCCTAAAAATCTTCGTAAGCTGCACTTCGGACAACGTATTCACTGCATTCGCTGCTGTCTCGAGTTGGGTATCTTGCTGATTAAACCTCATGTCCAATGGCCCATCATTAAGCACACTAAATCCACGTCTCGCGGCATCAAAATGGAAGCTATTTGCCCCTAGATCAAGTAAAATCCCGTCAACTTCAGTTGGAAATCCATTCGCCTCCAAGTGCGTCTCTAAATCAATGTACGAGCCATTCGAGAAGCTCACACGGCCATGAAATTCAGCCAAATTTGCTTGAGCGATGCTTAAAACTTCAGGATCTCGATCCACACAGAGAATTATAGCATTCGTAAAGTGTTGCAAAATGGCTTTGGAATGGCCTCCAAAGCCTACGGTGCCGTCTACGAAACAACGTGGTTCAGTAACGTCCTTGATATTTCGTGAAAAAGCAGCGATAGTCTCGTGAGGCAAAACCGGAATATGCATTGGAGAACATGAGTCATTACTACTAAACCTGATATGAATAGATGCACAAGAAGCAGTAGATGATAGAGAGCGTGATAAGAAAGGAGACAAGACGTTTGAATGCAATGTAATGAAGCGACGAACGTGGCACATCATTTTCATCTGCTGAAATATCTCTCAGCCATCCATTTCTTGGTCTCTGTTATCACTTTAAAAAGGGGTAAGAAGATGGGCAAACAAGTATTTAAATACTAAATGACCCTTGTCATGCTCAATTTACCTTACGTACCTACGCACTATTACGATTCACTTAGTGACAATCGCCACTTGGTGGTGCCATCCACTTGGCATATATGCTTTGAGAACTTTGGGCGTTCTCCATGAATTTCAGTGCTTCCTCACGTGTTAAATTGCGAGGCCGTTCATCTTGACGCCATAGGAACGAACGCGGTTTTCGGCAAGCGTTTATCTCGCGTGTGAAATCGTTGAGAACACGCGTGGACTCGATATCGTTCAAACAAAGACGTACCAAGCGTGACTTGCCATCGTGTAACCGCTCATAGCGCACCACGCCACTTTCCACCAAGAAATCCAACGATTGCTTGATACTCTCCATGCACAGCGCTTCGGCGTGGAACAATTCCTGGCACATGAACAATTCTTTTGCTAAAATCTGTACGCGTCGCACCATATCGCACTCTGTGCGCTCAATGTCGTCGCCCTCTTTGGTAGAAAGAAGGCACCAGAGGCCCTGGGTCGTGAGCCACAACGAGTCCATGAAGGACCAGTGCAGAGACAATACGAAGCTCGTAAGTTTTGCGGCATTCCAACGATTCACATCTATCGTCACTGTGCCTGAAGACGCGTCAACGTCACACGCAGATGTGTCAGCAAGGAATCGAGCCAAGCGAGCTTCGATGTCAACGGCTTCGTGGCGACATATATGGCGCAAAAAGCGCCAAATCTTCTTTGCTTGCTGTTGCACTGCCCAGATGTCCACTTTGTATTGAGTCAAGTAGGGCTCGTCGCATCTAGCATGCTGGCGTAGAGCAGCATCTAGAGCACCAATCACGGCCATGTCTGGCAGAAAGACATGGAGCAGGTGGTTCCGGTAGAATCCCAACTCGAGTGCTCGCACCGGGTGCTGCAGTTGAGGAACAACAACGCGATTGGCTTTCATGTCTACCTTCAAGATCAATAAAGCGTGGGCAACCATGTTCTCGTTTTCCATATGAGCAACAGTCGCACCGCGCTTCTCTAGTTCTTCAGCGAGCCACACAATGCGAGTCTCCAGCATTTTCTCAGTCACATACGCGCGCTTCCACATGAGCAACGCTGACATAATTGCAGTCGAGGTAATAGTGCCCGAGTTTTGCATTCGCTCGGCGACAAGCTCGGACGAATCATGAAGCGTTGAAGTCTTTGTCAGCGACACCGGCTTGCCAAAACGTACATATGCGTGACCTAGTCTCAGGAAGAACAGATCCCAAACTGAACGGAACAGGACAACAAGGCTCTCTTTCTCCTTCGGTTTACCCAATAACTGATTCGCGTATCCATCGACCTCGTACACCTTGTCGTAGTCCAGCGAAATCGGAACAACCAAAATCGTCTTCTTCGCTTCCTCCTTCTTCTCGACTGCATCGTCGTTATATGCAACGTGTGGCGTTCCTTTCACATAATTGAGAAACATTGACATGAAACCCAAGCGAGGTTTACACACGCGACCATGTCGCGATCGACCACCCTCGATGAACACCTCGACGGGATTGCCATCGCGCAACAACTCGTGCACGTACTGCTCCAGCACCTCCTTGTAGAGACGGTCGTTTTGGAGTGATCGACGGATGAAGAAACTACCGTTCGCACGTAAAAAGGAGCCCACAAGCGGCAGATCCAAGTTGTTACCGGCAGCAATGCGTGGCAGCGGGATGCCATAAGCAAAGCACAAATAGCTGATAATCAAGTAGTCTAAATGACTCTTGTGCGTGGGTGCAAACACAACACTGACATCACCTTCAGAGACTTCTAGCACACGACGTACGTGATCAAGCGATTCCAAGTCTACGTGGAGTCCATAGAAAAGCAAACGCCACATTTTAGTCAACAACCAGCCGAGACATCGTACAGCTGGCATAAACATATCCGACTTGAGACTCTCAAAGATACGCGTAACCCGCTGAATGTCCACAGAACTGCACTCGATCCCATCTTCCTTTGCTGCTTTTATTTCCCTGAGTCTACTAATTACATTCCGGTAGTGCGTATCCACGGAAGACGGTGGTCGACCTAATAAATTCACTTCAACTCCTGATTGATAGATAAAGCAACAGTCCATCAGTGCGAATCTCACGTCCACCAGTTGTTGTACTAGATTTAGCTCACGTTCGTTTCTCACACTCTGTGTCATAAATGATCGTATCGTTCTCTCAGCACAGCGTTCTTCAATCGACGCAAGAAGCCACGATGGCTTCATTATATTAATAAAACAATGCTGTCGTCTCTTGCCTTCGTTTTCTTCATTGTACTGAATTAATTGCACCATTTGATCCTCAATCAAATCCTCTTGTCTCTCTCTTTTTTCAACCTCGACCGTCCTCTTGTCCTTGATCTTCTTCATCAATTCCTTCTCTTCTTCTTCTTCTTCTCTTCTTCCATTCAAGTCAATCATTACACTCTCATTTATATCAGTCATTGTCCTCCAGTCTTTTTCAATAGCATTTTGATCCCATGTCTTCATCAATCGCTGGTCCAAATTAAAGTGTAACAACGTCTTTGTTTGTTCCACATTATCTAGTAGATTTTCCTCCTGATGAGTCTTAATAGCGACTACCAGTGCCAGGCTAGACGACATCATTCTTCGTCCACTCAATTTGATCCTATTTGTTTCTGATTGTTGATTATTATCTGTCTTTTTTAATAACAGACGAACCTTATCCTGGTATTTTTGATAACGTAATGGTAACCTCAATGCAGTCCCATTGGGCACCAAGAGCGGCCACAAAGGTACCGGTATCTTTATAATACTAGTTTCTAGTGGTATTAGAACAGATGAACCCCATTCATCTAAAAGTGAGTGATGTGACATGTGCTTCTTTCCCATGGGCTTGAGCATTTTGTGCTTGTTGGTTCTCCTATTGCGTCACGTTAGACAAGAGACAAGAGTGTACTTGTGCTTGATAGTTTGTTTATAACGATACGAACTTAGAAGAAAGGGTCCTTGAAAGCTCGTACCGGTAAAACAGGTTTTACTACATTAGAGCACTGCTAATAACGTGCTTTAACATAGAGACCGTAATTTTGTGCCTTGTTTCTGTGCTGATTTAGAACCTTTCAAATTTAGCACTTTTAGTAAAAACGTTAGACGCACTCGCTGTTTTCTTAATTTCTTTTTATTTTAGTGGCACTTTGCTGCGGTGCTTCGCCCATTTAATTTATCACTTACATCATCGGTCGAGTTGTCGTTGTTATAGCATCATGTCGCGTCTATTGTGGCTAATACTGGCCTCCTCCTTTCCTCTCACCGCATCCACCTGCTCCTTCTGTGATGTGCCTGATCCTGCGATGCTGAGCTTTTGCTCTACCTTTATCACATTTTCAGCCTGTCGCTCTGGTGGCTCATGGAGAAATATGGTTAGTAAAATCTAGTCTCTACGATATTCTAATTTTGTATGTTTTGTATGTTACTAACTATTTACTTCCATTTTCTATTTATGAAATCAAGGATACTACTGCTGAGGAACGGTATACCAAATTAGTGAATAATACCACAATTTTAAACAGTAATTGTGAGACAACATTAAAACGGACTCAATGTCTTGCAGTCTTTAATGTCTGTGAAATGGGAGCACACGAGACTTTGTGTCTTGATAGCTGTATTGGAGCAATAAAGACGGATTGCAGCTCAACGGTATCATCATTGGTACTGGAAACCATACAGATTGCAGCATGTGGAGATGGAAAAAAACCATTGGAAGGTGTAAGTGATGAAAGAAAATGTTTTGACACAAACTATGATGGACCAGAAAAAGCCATTTGGGTCATTGGATTTACGATTGCGGTAGTCTTTTCGTTTCTTGCAAGTGTCGGTATCAACTTGCAAAAGAAGGCGTTAAAGCAGAACGAGCTCGCGGTCGAGCCAAAACCAGCATATCGACTACCATTATGGATGTTGGGATTTGTACTCTGTGTCGTGGGGTCCGTGTTGGACTTTGTCGCCTTTGGTTTGGCGCCACAAAGCTTGTTGGCTCCACTAGCAGCGTTGACTCTCGTGTGGAATATGATGCTCGCGCCATGTTTTAACAAGGAAAAACTCAGCAGAAAAGATATCATGTCGACGCTGATAATTTTTGTGGGGGCTACCATTGCTGTTGTCTTCGCGTCCCACACGTCTCCGTCCTACAATTTGGATATGCTTATGGAGCTATACAGAGATCCACTCACGATCGTCTACTTTTGCTTCGTCTTTCTAGCACTGGTTGTTAACTTTGCGGCTATCAAAATGGTTGATGGGTTGTGCTTGATGAGCAAACGACATCGAATTATTCAAGTAGGTACACCAGCCAGGTGGGCGACTATACGTCTCGTTGGCTATGCCGGTCTCGCCGGAACCTTAGGAGGCCAGTCAGTGCTGTTTGCCAAGTCGTTGGCTGAGCTGTTGAAGGGCGTTTTTAACGGCGATGCCAGCTGCTTTGTGCACTATCAAACGTACCTCATTGCGCTGGCGTTGATTGTATGTCTGTGTCTTCAGATTAAATATCTGAATGGTGGGCTAGTTTTATACGACGCGCTGTCGGTGGTTCCCGTCTATCAAGCATATTGGGTTATTAGCGGTGTGCTTGGCGGTGTTTTTTACTTCCAGGAGATACGCACCTTCTCGGTCTTGCAATTAATTATGTTTGTTGTTGGAATCGGCATCAGCATCTTCGGCGTTGTTCTACTTTCGCGTCGCAAGCATGCCCCATCAATTGTCTCCAGCAAGGGCAATATAGAACGTGGTTTCAGCTTCACATCGTCGTTGGGGCCCCCACTGAGCTCAGATTCGCGCTTGTCACGCGTGCCCGATGGCGTTTCTACCGACGGTGTTATCATGGAGCAGAACGATGCGCGCCATACTGGCACCTCGTGGGAGCTGCTTTCCTCCGCGATTGAGTCTCTGCATGGAGCAGGCGTAACAGAAGGATCAGATGGCGACGACAACGATCACGACCGGCAAAATGAAGATTCAGAACACGTTAATCGCCACGCAATCGACAATTATCTGGACATGTCTACTGTTGTGGCTTATCGGAAATTTTAGGCAAGCTGGACTTTCAGCTGACGGACGCAAGAGAACCGCCTACTGTGCAGACGCATATCGAGTCGGTGAGGACAGCTTGATGGCTGAAGGCTCATGACTTCATTGGCTGACCTTATTCTCGGTGTTGTCCATTTTGTTTGAGACAGTCCATCACGACGACCTGGACGATGTTGAGGTGGAAATTCAGCTGCCACACGGGACCGTTCCACGCAAATTGCTACTCAAGCACCACTCGACCATATCTTTAGCGTTGTAAACCTTGACCATTAGTCAAGTAAAGACAAGAAGGAGGAGGACACATTGCTGAAGAATTGATTCGACTCCGTTCATGAGCTTCAAGAGGACAACAAATTGAAGTAGACTTGACAATTTTGATTACTTGTCCATTTTGTTAGTTGTCCTCTCGAAGCTTATGAACTTCAGTTTGTATTTCTAAATTTTTAGATAAACCCGTTTATAACCATTTTTAGAATTAAACTATAATTTGATGTTTTTAAGAATATTATAGTATGCTACATATATAAACAACTTATTATGAAAAACTGCTCATTCTATGGTAACTAAGCTAGCTTTTACCGTAGATATTTTAGTGCATTACAGATTGTGAGATGTATCACAACGAAGCAGCGCAACACTTTGCATTGTTTTGTGTCCGCCGCTTTTACAATGTACCCATTACTAAATACTTTCTAAAATTTTAATAACATTTTGCTACAATTCAATTCCAATTCAATTCCAATTCACTGACATGTAACTATAATTCAATCATTACGTTTTGCTACAATTCATTCATTCGCCTTTTCGTTATAGCTACAATGTGCCAACAACTGATGCAGTCATTTAGTCAATCAGTGGCTTGAATATTTGGGATATTGACAATGTCTGGATGCGGTCTTGCCCACCACTATTATTAAAGACGCATTGTACCCCATGTGCGTCTTTGTCACTATTTTGTCTGCTCGAAGGATGATTTCACGCCAACTATGCTAGCTGACATTAAGAAGCTATATGTCTCTGCTGCCTTTGTTCATTGTACTGCCGTCGTTAATCTTAAAGTCCTTATCAATAGGTATAATACCTTATTAAAACGTCCATTTGGTAGAATTACTTGTCCATTACATGACCATTATTATGTCGATTGATTATGTTGCCCATATTTGACGATAACTGGATAGAGGATAAAGCATTAAAAGATGATGTACCTACGGGCAACCTCGCAAATAAGAAAAGAGGCCGTTCAACTGACACATTTTTATAGTGACGGATGTTGTAGCGATAACTAAATATAGCTAATATCTTTCGAGTTAGCATAGCGTCTCAGCATTAAATGTTTGTTACTTTGTAATCTTAAATGTTTGTTTCTAATGTATTGATTTAAGATCGATATTAACGCTAGTCGCTCGTGTGTAGCCTTTTTATTCCAATATCAAGCCAGAAAGGTTAGAAAGGAAAGCCAATAATGGAAAAAGAAAATATAATTGGCTATGAAACGTCCAAGATTCTAGTTGTCGCATTTAGATTGTGAGGAGTTTAGGTGTGACCTGTCATTGTAACAAATTCCTTTCAAAATGAATATTTTCATAAAACGACCTTTCTTGCCACGTACTTGAGACCAAGTCATTCTTCAATCTCTCTTCCTCTATCAATGGGGTCTGCACGGGGTGAACATGAGCCTTTATTACCTTCATATTCTCCTTCTGTAGCCCGTACACTGCTTTTTGGTCAAGGAACAGATTTACCATGGCCTGCTACCTTTGAAGAAGGCGTTGATGCACGGTATTTTGCTATCGTTTGTAACGAGATGCCGTTGGTAAGAAATGATTTGATTCTAATGTCTAGTAAAATGTGTGAATGTGTTGTAGCATGGCGTCACCAATGTCCGTGACTTTAACTCCACGTCGTCTTCATTCAATTACTAGCAGTCCGTATAATGAGAGACAGAGGTTTTTTCAACAGCAACAGCAACGAGAAGGACTGTGGTCTCCAACCAGGACGAACAGCGGTGTGATCTCTATTCAAGGCACCAGCAGCTTCAAGGATGCTGTGTTCAATGCTATTAATGTACTTTTAGGCGTGGGTGTACTTTCGAGTCCCTTCTCACTGCGTTCGAGTGGATGGCTCATTGGTATGCCGCTTCTTCTCTTTTTTACTTTTGTGACAAATCACACGGCCAAACTGTTAGGCAAGTGTCTGGATTACCAGGAAGGTATGACAACGTATCCAGACATTGGAGAGGCAGCTTTTGGCACTAGAGGACGAGTGATCATTGGAATCACGTTCTTTGCTGAGCTTTTTACGGCTTGTGCCATGTTCTTTGTCCTCAGTACGTCGAGTATCATTTTTTATGTGTAAGATGAGGCGAGGGTCTAAGATGCACGTTTACTATGACTTTTGTACAGTTGGCGATACATTAGCGGCCTTAATTCCGTCGTTTACAGAGACGCAGTTGACGGTCATGGCATTTTTGCTTATCATGCCGTCTATCTGGACGACACGCATGTCGAAGTTGTCGGTTTTCAGCATTTTGGGCATTTTTTCGTCGTTCTTCTGCCTCTATACAATTTTTTACGTCGGGTTTGCGATTGACACTAAGGTGCCTGGGTACGAAATGGGCAGTTTGTTGCATCCACAGCCTCTGCAAGTGATTGGTGACATGGACCGCATTCCGCTGGCAATTGGACTCACGATGGTAGCGTTTGGTGGTCACTCGGTCTTTCCATCCATTTGTAGCTCCATGGCAAATAAGAAGGACTATCCGCGCGTGCTTGACCTATCGTACTTGATCGTGGGGCTAGTGTATGTTGCGATCGAGCTAGCTGGCTACCTCATGTACGGCGTTGCTACTCAGAAGGAGATTACACTCAACCTTATTGCGACGTATCCAGGAATACTCACGCAGATGGTGGTCTGGACAATTGCGCTCAACCCTATGAGTAAGATCGCGATCACGCTTCATCCCATTGCGCTGGCGTTGGAAGAAATTGTGCTTTCGCCGAAACAGAAGCGCGCTGCTGCTCAAAACAAACCAGACAAGGCGCTGGTATATTACCGAGCTTTTATCCGCACGATGCTTGGCTTGGGTGCGTTGTGCTGTGCGACTTTTGTGCCCCACTTTGCTCGTGTGACCTCATTTATTGGAGCTTTTTTCGCGATGCTGGTCTCTGTATTCTTGCCGTGCATTTGTTACCTCAAGCTTTTTAGTCATCGCTTGTCAAAGATCGAGATAGCGTTCAATGCAGGATTGGCTGGACTTTCCATCATCTTGATGTTTTTTGGTACCCTCGCGTCATTCTTGTCTCCGGCAGAGTGAGAGAGGCAAAGATTAGAGAATATCAACAGGATTTACTTACTACACGCTTACAAAGGATATGGCTTTCACTATTTTGTGTGACTAGCAGCTTACCTTATCTCTATTCCTTCAGCTACGCAGTTATTTTGCCTAGTGGGGGGTTACACAAAGGTGGGTATTGTACATACACACCTGCCACACCATTGTGGTTAGCTGTACCTTGGGTACAGTGGTAGGTTTGATGTGACCGTACCTAAGGTACGAAGGGTCGCATCGTGCAGAGAGCCACGTGGTCACTATACTTAAGTATAGTGACTATACATGTTTACATATTCATAGGCTACAGAGCCAGATAAATAGTGACTAGCACTAAGTATATAATAGGCGCTACTATATCTAGTGCTAGAAGATAAACATAAACCGCTCTAAAAGCTTAAGTGCTAAAGCGTTCTATCCTTTGTAAGAAATTGTATCTTTGATACTAGTGTCTTGGAGACGTGATTGTTTACAACCAAAAGGCATAAGCTTGCGAAGCTAGCCTTGGGAGGGTTAAGAACCCTAAGACATAGAAGCTTTTTGAGCTTGTCTGTCTCTGCACTTAGTGCATAATTAGCTTGGCTACAGTAGCTCTGCTACACCTGGTGGTACTTGTAGTCAATCATGCACCTGGGTTTGAAACTACTTCTCTGTGAGAATGGACATCAAAGAGATGTCAGCGGCTGGCCTGTCACAGGCACAGCAGGAAGGGTTGCAAAAGCCGCTCCCTATCCTTGGACCTAAGGGCGTAGAATACCTCATCGCCCAAGGCGAAGAAGAGGCTAACAAGCGTATTCATATGCTTGAAGAATATAACAACGCTATAGTCGAGAATGTAAAGGCACAGATGCCTTTTTCTGCGCCTACGCCCATGGCCACTATAGCGCAGGAAGCAGTCCGCGGACCAAAATCCATACATATTGAAGTCGACAAGTTTGACGGCAAGGAAGGTGACAACCTTATGATGTGATTCCGACAGGTTGAGTAGGCTAAGTTTGTAGCCGACATCACTTATAAACCGTATCGTGTTGGCTTGGCCACGGGTAAGCTGGGTGGATTAGCCAAGCAATAGGTATTCACATGCGATGCATCATTGCAAGATGCATGCACAACATGGGCCAATCTGAAAGCTCAGATGACCCGGCAGTATGCACCGCCAAACTAGGCACACCGAAATCGGCCGCAAGTTTTGGCGTGTCGCCAAGGCAAGCGTGAGTTTGCGGCATATGTACAAGAGTTGAGAGCTCTCATTGCTGCCATGGTCATAGATCCTATGCCTGAGGCAGTGAACGCCACGGTCTTCAATGGAGGGCCTCCCAATTGGCGTTGCCAGAACGAAAGTCTTTCGAGTAAACCCGTCCTCGTTAGAGGAAGCTGTTGGGGGGTGGTATGGAATACGGAGACCAACTTAAAGGCCGCTAGGCCTGCCACTTATAACTACTCGTCTGATGGGTCTGTTCCCATGGACTGTAGTCAAGTGGAAGATGAAGAAGCTGGGTCAAGCTGCGGAGCAGCAAACTGTGCTCAGATGTTATATCTGCAAGAGCACAGGCCATTTCATGGCAAAATGCCCTGCAAGAAAGGCATATTTGGCCTCAAAGGGCCGTCGACCCATGGGTAAACCTTCTGGTTTGTCTCGGGGAAACGGCGGATCCCAGTAGTCGCGGGGCGCCCTAGCGGGGAAGAACTGAGTTCTATTGAAGCTTTTAGGAGGTCAAAGCAAGCAGTGCCCCACCCGGAGACCCACACTCTCAGAAACGGAACGAGAATGCAAGCCAGGCTTGCTTGTCGTTCAAGGGACGGTTAAGGGATTTGATAAGCCATGGATCATTTTGATCGATTTGGAGGTATTCGGCAATTATGTTCACCTTGCCACCGTGGAAGGTAGTCATCAGTATGCTGAGGAGCTTGTAGCGCGTGAGAGTGACACAGTCACAGTTCGCTTAGCGACGGGTACGTGTTACGGTACCCAAAGTCCCGATGGACTTAAATGTTAAGTTATCAAACTTTAACAGCATGGAACACTGTCTGGTCTTAGGCCTGGATGAGAGGTATAACCTCATCTTAGGCATGACATGGCTAGAACGTCATGAGCCATGGATTGATTGGAGGTCGAAGACCTTAGGCGCAACGCGCAATGCTCCTAGTGGGGCTCTGGAGAGTCATGAGCCCACCTCTGCTAGGAAGCAAAAGCTCTTTTGGCGTGAACTATGGACCGAGTCGGTCCTATGTTGAATGTCGGATTATCCGACTTTGTAGACACTGTACGTATCGAGGACAATAGTCCTGGGCGAGTCCCAAGGAATGTCGATAGTGTTGTTGAGAACCCACTAGATGGCGCATATAACATGTGTCATGAAAACGATTTTACTTCATGAAACATCATGAGTGGTGTTGATGGCTGCAAGGCAAAATGTCAGGACACGAGTCCGAGTGACATGGTTGACGAGGTACTGACATTGGAGGGTCGGGTGAAGTAAATAATGACGGTTGTCTTTGAGGACAACGAGATGCGAGCACCTCATGACGAGGCATTGACCCAAGAGGGTAGGGTGCAGTCAGTAAATGAAGTGGCCTTTGACCTTGAGGTGTGTACACCTGTGAAAGCTGATGCGTTGGATGCTGAGAGCATCATGAGTAGTGATGAGGATATCGTGAGTGACGGTGATAGCGAATGGCTGTATACACTCGTCAATGGTTTAACTGGGGATGTTGAAGAGCCGGTGGCTGTTTCACCTATACCCGTAGTAAGTGCTCTGTTACAGCTGGAAGAGTTGTCATTTGCCGAGTTTGGCAGTGCTTTACAGGCAGGCAACATTGCCAAAGTGGTCGTTATTTGACCTGAGGAGGAGTTGAACTGCTCATTGGTTTTGGATAAAGCAGTTCTTGAAGATACGAAGGAGGCTCTGAATGCGCGCAGTGGATCACAGATCCTGAGAACCCGTCGGATTATTACTATCCTTTGTTGAAGAAGTATAGCAATGTCGTTTCCAAAGAACCTCCTACGAGGTTACCTCCGGATAGAGGTGTACGTCATGAGTTGGACTTGTTTACAGGAACCAAATATTGTGTGACGCGACAGTGGCCGCTGCCACGAGACCAATGTGACGTCATTGACGAGTTCTTTCATGCCAACCACGCAGCTGGCATGGTGCGTGAGAGTAAGTCTCCTCACTTTACGCCCACGTTTTGTGTGAAAAATCCTAATGGGAAGTGGCGAATAGTGCATGCTTACAATAAGCTAAATGCAGCCACTATCCCGGATCAAACACCAATTCCTCACAAGGATGTTCTTCAGAACAATATGGTGGGATGTACGATGTACAGTGCCCTCGACTTAGTCGATGGATATCACCAACTGCTCATGCGAGCTAGCGATATCACGCTGACAGCGTTAAGCACTCCGAGCGGTATGCTCTGGGAGTGGCTAGTGATGCCCCAAGGGCTTACAAACGCACCTGCAGCGTTCAATCGTCTGGTAGCGCAGTTGTTTCGGTCTCATAGGGCGTATGCACAGACGTACTTTGACAATGTAGTCGTCCATGGTCGAGCCGAAAATGGCAAAACTGATGTGAAGAATCACATCGAGCACCTGCGAGCTGTGCTCAGTTGCATGAGGGTGCATAAGGTATATGCCAATATTGACAAATGCATCTTCGGTGCGGAAGAGATTCCCATCTAAGATGCGTCATTGGGAAGCGAGGAATCCGGGCAGGCCAGCTGAAAGCTACAAAGAAGAGCTATCCAGTTCATGACAAGGAGCTACTTGCGGTGAAGAAGCCCTTGTTAAGTTCAGGGTACACCTGTTGGGCTCAAAGCCATTTATGATCGATACCGATCATGCGTCGTTACGCACAGCGACACACTCACCTCATCTCTCGCATAGAATGGCTTGTTAGCTCTCCTTTTTCGCGGAGTATAACTTCGAGGTGTAGTATAAAGCCGGGAAAACAGAATGTTTTGGCTGACGCGTTATCGCGTAGACCTGAATATGAGCTTGCTCATCTCACTGTTGTGAGTTCGTCAATAACGGATCGTATTCGTGTGGCGTATGCACGCGATTAGGCATGTGTTGCCATTCTATGTAGGCGCTAGGTAGCGCAGAGTTTGAAAACTCTAAGGTGAAGTTGTCGCCACGTAATCGTGCGAGATTACATCGTCATGCACTGACCGATGGTCTGTTGTACTATAGTACAGGGTCGGACGACCAGCCTCGAGTTGTGGTGTCTCATGATGAGGACCTCAAGTATCAGATACTTAATGAGGCTCATGATACACCGCTTGGTGGTCATTTAGGTCGTGAGAAGACCTACAGCTCGGTGAGCACACATTATTGGTGGCCCAAGTTGTACAAATGGATTGGTACCTACGTACGCACGTGTGAAACGTGTCAACGGGTGAAACCCTCGCTTAATATGGCTGCGCCTTTGAAGGGTTTGCCTGTACCCTCGGGGTTGTGGCAGTCCATTAGTATGGACTTTGTGTTTGGCCTACCGCGTGATGCGGCAGGCAACACTGGGATTGTGGTCTTTGTAGACCGATTGAGCAAGATGGCTCACTTAGCGGCAGTGCCGGACTCTATTGACGGAGAAGGAACAGCAAAGCTGTATATGGATCGTGTGTCGACAACACGGACTGCCTGTGGCAATCGTCTCGGATAGAGACCCCCGTTTTACGGGTTAGTTTTGGACATCCGTCTTTAAAGTGCTCGACACTCGGTTGGACATGTCCACAGCGGATCATCCGCAGACCGATGGTCAGACTGGACGCGTCAACCGCGTTATTGGCGATATGCTTCGCAGTGCTTGTGCTGAAACACCCAAGCAATGGAGCGCAATGCTCCCTCTGGTCGAGTTTGCGTTGAACAAAACGGTGCATGCCTCGACAGGCTTCGCCCCATTTTATGTGAATGCTTTGGTCAACCCTCGCGTTCCTTTAGCGCTACCCCCTGTCACATCAGGGCTTAGTGGGGGGAGAGATAGCCG